GCAAACCCCAAAACGTGAAGCGCACATCTACGCGTCCGTCGTGGTTAGGTGGCTGGGTGGGTCAGAACCGGGCCGGGTCCTCCGTTGAGACGTCCCACCCACTTCCCGCCTCTGCCGGCCGGTGGCCGCCGCTCCGTCTCCTGCAGGTCTGGCCCTCGTGCTCTGTCCGTGCCGCGCCTGGGCTTTGCCGAGGCCAGGGGAGGCCCCGCACACCCAGCGCGCCCGGTGTTTCCGCCGCGGAGCAGCCCTGCGGCCTCCAACCCACGCTTCTGTTTCAGACCCCCCCGCCTCTGTTCAACGGAGTCAGTGCCACGATGATCCAAGCCGAAAAGGTGGCCTACCTGCGGAGCGAGCTGCAGCTGAAGCATGAGGAGAGCTACCGAGAGGCCCTGGTCACCATCAAGGACGACCTGAAGTTGACAGAAGGTGCAGACATCAAGGAGAACCTGCAGGAACAGATCCGGCGCTGGTTCATCGAATGCAGGTGAGCGGCAGCGGGCGGGCGCCGGGCCTGTGCCGGGCCCTGTGTGACCGCAGGCGCGTGAGGTTTTGGTTTCGCTTTAGAAAAGTGAAATGTCGTGGCCAAGAGTCAGGTTGCTTTTTGTCCTGGTATCTGCAAGCTAGATGTGGTCTACGCGGCGCCTGTGAGATGACGCAGTGGTGGGGCCCGCGGGCAGGTCTGTCCAGAACCCCGAGAACCCCGCAGCTCACGCTGCCCTGGCTGGCGGGCACAGGCTTTCTGCCTGCGAGAGGCTGGAGACTCCCGGCCGCGGTCACGGTCCCTGAGGCAGCTGTTGACTCTGCAACGTGACACTTTGCTTCCAGTGCCCTGAAATGAGGGGTGGACAGAGCCCGGTCTGCCTGTGCCGGTCTGTTTTCATGCCTCCACAGTCACTATGAGATGACGCCGAGGTCGGCCTGGAAGGTGGTTCTGAAAGGCATCCTCCGTTCGCGACCCCCGGGCCCCGGGCGCAGACACGTGCCCGCATGCGCAGCTTTGCAGAGCCTGTCCCCTGGCAGGACCGTGACGGAGAGCCGTGCGGAGCTGACTTCTCCCTGACCGGGAAGAGGGCCGGCAGGCCGCTGAGTCCGAGGGGGCGGGCCGGCCGGGCCCAGCCCTGCCACAGGTGTGGGCCGTGGGCTCACGGCCTGCACGGACAGCGAGACTGCCCGGCTCTTCAGAGCGGAGGAGCCAACTTGCATGATAGGAAAGGAAACTCAAAACTCACACCAAAGGATGTCTGATCCTGAGGGGTGAGGGGGCCCCCGAGGCTGATCCAGACCCACAGCTACACCCCCAGAGAGGAGAGTCTGGTGGGAGGCCAGGGGTGTCCCGCCATCCTGCCAGCCTCCCCCGCACTCCGGCCTTCCCCTCACCGTCTGTGACGGGCGCCGGCTGCCTTGCGCGGAGGCCCACTGGCGAGGGCCGGCCTGCAGCAGCCCCACAGGCGAGCCCACCCACGGCCGCACCCGTGCCCCGGGGTGGGCTCCCCAGGTGGGCGTCCAGATGAGCCGCAGCCCCGCCACCCTGGGCGCCACGCCCGCTCCCTGCCCACAGAAACCGCCGCATCTCCAACACTCACCTTTCCGTCGCTAAGTTTTGGGGTAACTTGTTACGCAGCAGTAGCTATCTCGTAGGTGCCAAGCGCATTTACACCAGTTTAGAAAAGGACACGATGTGTGTTCACTGTGCGTGGGACTCTGATGTAATATTCCCTCATAGTAATTAGATTTTATAGCAAGATTTCTTTATGAATGTTTGCTAGAGCAAGTCCATGCTTTTGACTGGGGGACTCTGTCCTTCATCCTATAAAGGCAAATTTAAAATACGGATGAAGTTTTAGAATTCAAAATTCATTACATTTGCGAACTTTTTATGTTTTATTAAGGATTTTTCTATTTTATCAGGAATTTTGTTACAGTAGAAAAATAGAGATACTTTCACCTGATCTTACAGAGAAGGCCGCCCCCCCCTTCTGCCTGTATCACGCCTGCTTGCAAAGGGAAGTCACAGGCCCTCCCCCGATGCGGGGCGCCTGGTCCCTCCTCGGCCGCAGGTGTCTGCCGGGTCTCAGCACTCAGCCTGCCTGGCCCAAGCCCTGGCGGGTGCAGCCCCTCCCACCTGCCTGCGTTCTCTTCCGCCCCCCAATCCATGTCACCAACTGCTCCTCCCCTCCCGTTGCAATCCCCGATTCCTCCCCAGTTCCTCCCTGAAGCCTCCTCGGCGCCCCCTGCCAGGAGTCCCAGCCCCAGGCGCCTGCAGCTGAGGTGACCTGCCCCTGCCGGTGACGCAGAAACCGGGAGCCCTGCGCAGAGAGCAGGTGTGAGCCCACCCCAGTGCCGCCTCTGCGCCTGCTCCGGCCCCGTGCAGAGTCGTGTCTGCAGGAGAGAGGCGCGAGGGAAACTGCGATGGCGGAAGGTCCTGCGGAAAGGCACTGCTGAGGGGTGCCGGGCGCCCGCACACCTGCTTCCTGTTATAAGCTTCACTTCGTGGCTCAGAGGTGGCCGGCCTGCGGCTGCGTGCCCGTGGCTGGCCTCCCTCCCCTTTCCCCGGACTTCAGGGAGTAGGTGTCTAAGCCACGGCTTCTGTGCCTGAAATGATTCTTTACTTTGACGTAGATCCAGTATCTCACTGGGTGACAAAATCAGCCTGAAAGCCCTACGTGCAAGTATAACCCCAAAGAGCTAAACTACGTCTCACACGCACGCACCCTGAAACACGCATGTGGAGGGGACACTGGACACTCCTAGCACAGCCACGCCCGGGACAGGGACAGTGGGGGCAGGTTCTGTGTTCTGTTCCTCTACCCGTCAGAGTCTTTTATTTTTTTCAACAAGAAACTACTTTTATACTAAAAAGCCTGTTAAAAAAGACACTATGAGGGCCCTCCCTGGGGCGCAGCGGGTCACAGCGCAGCACTGAGAAGCTAAGGCCACTTCAGCACGAGTTCGATCCCCGCCTGCCCCGGAGGTGACCCCAGGGCGCGGCAGACGGCTCCTGGCCCGCCCGCTGCTCCCCTCGGCAGTGTGCTTCGTAGATCTGCCCGTTCTGCTCCCCACTCTGTCTCTGGTGAACCCTCTCACCGCCCCC